TGTTAAGTTTTTGAATTGAACAATTGAGTGATCATCATTTGATATTTCAAATTCCAGTGTGTCTATGCATTCAGAAATCATTGGATAATTGCATGTTTCATCAAAAAGGAGGTGATTAAAGAATATTGTGTTGAGGGATTGAACAGCTTTTTGAGTACCAATCACATGTGTGGTATCATATAAACTACGAAGGTCAGTTTCTTTGGTTAATTTTTGTTTAGATTATTCACTTGCTTCTAACTGATAAAGTTCCTGTTATTATCTCTTGGAGGATCATGTAAAATTAAACACCATTTATCTGCCTTTGTGGTGTATAACTAGGTCTCCCACGACAAGTGTTGGCATTTCTCCAAAGATAAGATTGTTTTTATGAATTTTAGCAAAGATGTTGCTAACAAACGTGAAAAGATCACCATTGTTTTAGAGTCACCTATACATACAGTATGTATAGTTAACCAAAAAATTTTCAAAAAATTTTTTTTTAAATTCAAGATATAGTATATAGTAATAAGGAAAAACTGTACGTACATATTCGACTCCCTCTTCCATAACGTATCTCTCGACCAGGACGACAATTGAATGCTTGGAAAAATTCAACACATTGTTCGCCTTGTCATAATACCCTTTGAAGCTAATTTCTCTAAAAACATTGTCATTTTTATAAAGAACAGTTCCGCTGATCATTCTCTTGGTGGAAGTTACGTGTTTAACGAAACAATTGGAAACAAAAATAGAACACATGTTATTGTTATTATTATTATTATTATTATTTCTCTAATATTAAAAATGACCATGTGATTCGAAACTAATTTTATTATTATTTTTCTAATATTAAAACAACCATGCCTTTGTTGAAAGTGTAAAGAAAAAAACGTAACAATTCGGAATTAATAACTTTTTAATTTAATTAAAACATCGAACCGCACCTTTTTTTGAAAATGTGAAAAAAATGTTATTGTTGAAGGAATTGACGAAACTTTTTTCGAAAAAAAGGTTCTCCTGTTGCTTATTTGAAGAAGAAAAATGTAACGATTCGGAATTAATTCAATTTTTTAATTTAATTAAAACATTGAACCGCGCCTTTTTTTTTTTGAAAAGCGTTATTGTTGAAGGAATTGAACAAAGCTTTTTTCGAAAAAGGTCTGCCGGTTGTTATTGGTGAGAATAAAAATGCAAAAAATTGAAAAATTGGTTCATTATTTAAGAACCTCCATT